TCAACAGCATAGCGATGCAAAATCCGCAGACCCAGATAAAAGAGCCTCCCATCCATGGTTGTATGATTGTCAGACACGCGTTCTTTTCTATGAAGTGGTTCTCAGTGTTTGAAGATAGATGACTACCCAACACGGAACTGTCTCAAGTTTCCAGAGGGAGACAGCTTTGTAGAAATCATAGACAAATTTCATGACAGGTGGCCTAGCATGGAATTGATTCTTAACAAGTTTGGTAGAATAGCCTTGTAGACTTCAAAGCTGGTACATCATCATTTGAACACTCCTTCCAAGGTGTCTGTATTTGAAGTGTGGATTTCCTGTAGCTGGAGTGTTCCCTGACTCTGAAATATTAGACTCTAACTTGCCAAAAGCTCTTGTAACTCTGAAGGACAAGTTAACATTTCTGAAACAAGAGAGAGACTGGCAATACCTGAAAAGCATAAGTTCAAGGTTGATTTTAGTGAACAAAATCAGTTAAGCCTGTTAAAATAATAACGATAATGATAATAACAATAACAACACAGACAGTAAACTACACAGTATTCCTTTTCTCCTTGTTATCTGGGATACATTTTCTGCAAAATTGAAACGTCTCACTGGACAGAAATTCCATATTTCAAGCATTTCAAGAACATAGAATTCATGAAGAAATTAATCTCTTTATGAATAAGAGTGTGTGACTAAAAAAAGACAGATGAGCTGCGTTTTTCATGCTCTGTGAGAAATTTCTCATCCAAAGGCAAAGAGTTTCTGGCATTCAGGTGACACAGGCAGGCACAAAAAGGCATCCTTTAAATCTAGTACCGTGAACCAAACTTGACTGGAATTGACACTGTTCCTGTAAATTGACACTGTTCCTTTCATTTCATTAGACCAACTACACAGAGTTGTATAGAGAAGACTATTCTTGTGAAGAAGAGTTGTATAGCATAGCCTAAGTACCCTCAATCGAAGCAGGTAAAATCATACCTAGTAAAGAACAAAAGAACATGTCTTTCTTTCATGAGCTAAGTGTAAGAGCATTCCCAAAATTCCGTCCTGACTTGGGGAACAACAAACCAAAACTGTGCAGAAGAAATCATGAGCCACTGGGATGAGTGCTCTGGCAAGCAGACCCAGACTCTTCAGATTCTTTGCAGCAAATCTACCCAGGCTATCATTTGCACTTCCTATCTACTTCAGTGCAACCAACTTTTGATTTATCCTCGGAGTATTTCTCAAGTTTTTCAGTCCTTCCCCAGACCTCTCGCCTTCACACGGGCCATGAAGCCCACCTTCAGCCAGAGAGGAGGCGTGGCCACCGTGAAGAAAGAAAATGAATGGGGACAGTCCCTGCCACCTCATCCTAGTACGACGTACTGGGACCAGGTTGCCATAGGCGTCTGTCCCTGGAGTGGAGCAGGGTGGAGCATTAATCAGAAAGGAATTTGTCTCCATTGCCGAGAGCAAGCCACATTCCTCATGGATATCACAAGTCTTCTTTTCATTCCCTGTGGAGCTCTTGAAGCCCTCTGCTCAGGGAACCTCACTGCTGGAGACCCCTGTATGTTCTACAGGGACTCCTGGTACCTCAAGTGACCTGAGGCGTGGATTTCACAGCTCAACTGGAAGCTTGAGCCATGCATAAGCCTTAGGTATTGCAACCTGTTCCTTCCTTAGATCTCTCCTTACCTACGTATGGACAAGATTGTCAGGTGTTGTTTTTGAACCTTCCAGTACCCACTAATCACCGAATTGAAAAAGCCAATCTGCAAGCAAGGACTGGATTTCCAACAAAAAACGGAGAGAAGCCCTGGCAAAGCTGTTGTGAACAATAGCCCCCTCTTGTGTGTTAAAGGGGCAGCAGGGCTGTGTCTGCATAGGCCTGAGCTTTGGAGCTTTACGCAAACTTGGTAAACTTGTGAGGAAAGCAACCAGTGCAAGTGGCTTCCCCAAGGGGTGACTGCACAGAAGCGAACGCCTGACAGTGGCTGCCCAAGCTGACGGCTTAGCTCTGGTCTGGATATATCATAAGCTTTGTTGTGCAGGGTAGAAGTGAATTTCCGTCATGAAAAACAGCCCAGTGCTGGATGATATCATGTTTATTTCATAAAGAAGCAAGGAGGGAGGAAAACATGACTGTTTTCTAAGACTCTTGCACATCCTCAGCACATTGAGCATGTACGTCCTAGCACTGCACTAGTAAGGGAAGACCTCAACCAGGAGCAGATTATTCTTGATTAATTTAAACTGGGGGAGCGGGAATCACATCAGACAAAGACGTCCTTTTCACCAACATAGTTTATTTTGCTGTCAAGGCTCTACACGAAGACAGTAAAAAGGTAACAAAGAAGTCAATATTCCCTCCTTCCCCTTCCCTCTCCTCCCCTCCACTTCCTTCCCTGGCTCTCTCCTCCCCTATACTCCCCTACACTCACCCCCCTATGCTCCCCTACACTCTCCTCTCCTACACTCCCCTACACACACCTCCCCTACACTCTGCTCCCCTACACTCCCCTACGCTCTGCTCCTCTACCCTCCCCTTCACTCAGTTCCCCTACCCTCCCCTTCACTCAGTTCATTCATTCATTCATTTCATATTCATTTTTGTTGCTTAAGATAACTGTTTGAATATTTTTCAATAGAATTTTGCCATGATCTATTTTGTGAAGTCTAGAAAACAGACCCCCACCCCCCCAAAGAAAAGGAAAAAAAAAAAAAAAAGAAAGAAAAAAAAAGAAAAGTAAAGATGCTTAGTCCTTTAAAAAAATACTTATTCATTTGGTGGGATGGAGGAAGTTAAACATGTTTTCTATTCTATCCATGTAGACTGTGCTCAGTAGAAGTTTCTGTAAAATTCTGCTGACAAATGGCAGAATCCATCTGGACTGCTCTAGGAAGTGGAACAGACCCACAGTGGACAGGAAAATGTACTATCAGAACAATTAGGAAATCAAATCTATTGTGATCTAAGTTACTGACAAGTGTTAAATGAATTCCCTCCGTTCCTATTTGGCATGGAAGAAATGGGCACAGAAATGACTCATTTACCCTAAGTATGTCTCTGTCACCTTCTCAGCTCCAACACGATTCTCCTTTTCAGCTTGACCTCAGTGTAAACTGTGAGTCTCTGTTAAGCGTCATGCACCAAGTGTCAGAAGCGACTGTGCTCTGACCAAGACTCCCTGTGCTAGACAAGCTATGGAGAGCAGAAATCTTTTTGTAGTGGTCCTAGGAGAAGGCAGTTTATTTGGCTGCAGCTCTTCTTAGAACACTAAGGAAAATCTATTCCTCAAAGGCTGCATCTCTAGTAGATGCTGGGATGGAGCAAGAATGTAGTTTTGCAATAAATCTCCAGTCATCACATTTACTCCATGCAGCTGGAGTTTCAGAGAGGATTAGTGGTACTTGAATGAATGCTCTCTCTAAAGAAACAGAAGTGAGAGATCTGTTTCAGGTGCAAAATCAATGTATTGCAAGCCCGAAACGGGAGATCAAAAGCCAAACTAATCACCTGTTCTACAAAGAGATCTGAATGCAATTTTGCAGGCATTTTCTTCCAATGGTGCCAAATGAATCTAGTCCAATGCTCATATACGCTGGAACCACATGACGAATACGTAAGGCCTTTAGCCTTAGCTGCTTTGGTCTACTGATCTTCTCCAATTGGACTGTCTTGCTCGTTACTGTACCTCCAAGGGAACAGAACACGGTTTGGATAAATTCACAATCTAGAAAGAGCTCCGGCAGAAACATAGGCATTCCTTGCTACCATCATCACAGAAGGTGCAGCAGCCACAGGGCCGCTTCATTCATTCACTCACGCACAGAGCACCAAGAACAAATCCTCATTTGTTACAACAAATACTCATTTGTTGCAAAAATAGATTATTGCTCCATCCCCACATCTGAGTAGATGCAGCCTTTGATGAAGAGACGTTCTTTAGTGTTCTAATCAAAGTCATTGCTTATTAACTGCTTTTAAAAAGAATACTAAGATGAGGTCTACAATTTACAGCACAGTGGTTGACCCAGACATCCTCAAGGGTCTGTCCCAAAAAGGTTATTTTGTTGCATAATTCTCGAAAACGCCAGGAGGTGTCATCTTGAATTACCTTACGTAATCACCTTAGACTAATCACCTTATTACCTTAGTCTTTCCCCAAATGTTTTCGTGCTCAGTCTCAATTCCTCCTGCCTCATTTACACACATAGAGCAACCAAGATTGATTCAAGTGCATCCTTCCCCTTGTAGGAGGCAAATAAAAGGTCTAGTGCCTAAAACATTCTTCTTGATTTGTTCTAGTTGCTTGCACCAAACTGTAAGATGTTGCAAATACTGGTTTCCTAAATGTGTTAGCTCTTCTCCTTTGTCCGGCATTTGGTAAGGCCTGCCATCCAATATCTCCAAAGGGGCTTAGTTTGACCAAGTTTACCTAAATTATGTTACTTTGGTGAAAAGCGCGTGTTTTCACCACAATGATATCACAACAACTCAGACTTTGGTGAAAAGAAGTTGCGATTTCTTTATGCGTCTCTCATGTACATGGGAAACCAGTCTTCATGACAAAAGTTTTGGAATCGCTGCCCTGGAATCCATTATTATTGTTATTAATATTGTAATTATTAAATAATTATTAAATGATGATTACTTATTAATTATATTATTAATTAATAAATATTAATAATAATAATAATAATAATAATAATAATAATAATAATAATAATAATAATAACAAAAACATCATCATCATTATAAAACATGTGGATGTGGCCTGGAGGAAGCTGCGGCCCATGGAGAGCCCCCACAGGAGCAGGCCCTGGGCTGAAGCTGCAGCCCATAGAGAGGAGCCCACGCAAGAGTACTGCATGGTAGTACTGCTGCACAAACCTGTGCACCCTCTAGGCACTAGCAGCATGGAGATGGGGACACCCTGCCCCAGGGTCTGACCGCAGCAGCTGCACACGCAGCCCACAGACACCCATGCACGCAGAACAGAACAGAAGAGACAGCCCTCATCTATGAAATAGTCCTGAACAATTTTATTCAGAAGCCCCGTCCTCGGGACTGAAGCTGCCATCTGTGGGGAGCTCCCTGGTACTGTCAGCCTCACGTTGCTCTAGGTCTTCTGTGATGCAGCTGAAGCAGTAACTCCTGCGGAGAGCCCGAAGTGCTCTCCTGAAGAGGGGGGGCAATTGCGAGCGAGCCACAGTGTGCGGGAGGGCAGCGGTGCCTGTGGGGGTCAGAGAGCTGTACGTGAGGGGCTGGGATGGAACTGGGCATGGTCCTGCCTGCCCCCGCCACCAAGGCTTTCCCTTGGGGAGGGGACAGTTGGACATGGAGGGACCCTGTGCGTGGAGTGCTGCCAGCCTCCGTGCCGTGGGCTGGGATGGCTCCATACTTTAGGACATACCTGGCCCTTCCTCTGGCACCGATTGGAAGTGTGAGGAACACTGTGCACTGCTTCTATGCTCGGAGGAAACCTGCATGGGGAGAGAAAACCACAGCCCTGTGGGCCACTGTTTGGCCATGCTCCGGGCCCCGATGCCCCCGATGCCAGATGGATAAGGGATGAGGGGCCTCGAGGCCCACCGACAGGGGTCTGTGGCTTCCATGACTGTGGGACGAGGAAGGTATACCTTGCTTACCTCTTGCAGAAGGCCCCCAGCCAGGGGAGAAGGTGCTGCTTCTTCTTCCTCACATGCTGATGGGGTGAGAGGTGCTGTCCTGGCCTCCAACACAGGGTGCGCAGCCAGGGGAGAGGCTGAAGCTTTTCCCTCTTTGGGCATGCAGGCAGGGGGGAGCTCCTCGGGCCCAGGAACTGCGGCCATAGGAGCAGCTGAAGGCCTGGCATCTGCCTCACCAGATGGGGCAGGAGACGTGCTGGGCAGGACGTCGTCTGCTTCTGCCACAGCTTCTATCCTGGGGCTCTCTTCCCACTCTTCCTGAATGTCCTGCAGAATGGTCTTACTCGTTGTGGAGCAAAAGTAGGGAAGGCGCTGGCCCGCAGTCCTCACTGCCACCTCCTGCCTGCCCGATGCACTGGCTGCAGTGCTGTCAGCTGTGTCACCGTCGTCTGCTGCCCAGATCCTTCGCAACCTCGGAACCTTCACGCTGCTCGGCCAGGACTCGTTCCACCGGGACAACTGGCAGCCTTCCCTCTCCCCGCTCGGAATGATCTGCATTGCTGGCCGAAAGGAGGAGCACCCATAGATATCCCAGTTGATCTTGACCCGGTCTTTCAATGTCGGCGGTCTTTTCTGGCTGCTTGTGGAAGGGCCGGGCATAGCAGCAGCCAGGGGAGAGGCTGAAGCTTTTCCCTCTTTGGGCATGCAGGCCGGGGGGAGCTCCTCGGGCCCAGGAACTGCGGCCATAGGAGCAGCTGAAGGCCTGGCATCTGCCTCACCAGATGGGGCAGGAGACGTGCCGGGCAGGACGTCGTCTGCTTCTGCCACAGCTTCTATCCTGGGGCTCTCTTCCCACTCTTCCTGAATGTCCTGCAGAATGGTCTTACTCGTTGTGGAGCAAAAGTAGGGAAGGCGCTGGCCCGCAGTCCTCACTGCCACCTCCTGCCTGCCCGATGCACTGGCTGCAGTGCTGTCAGCTGTGTCACCGTCGTCTGCTGCCCAGATCCTTCGCAACCTCGGAACCTTCACGCTGCTCGGCCAGGACTCGTTCCACCGGGACAACTGGCAGCCTTCCCTCTCCCCGCTCGGAATGATCTGCATTGCTGGCCGAAAGGAGGAGCACCCATAGATATCCCAGTTGATCTTGACCCGGTCTTTCAATGTCGGCGGTCTTTTCTGGCTGCTTGTGGAAGGGCCGGGCATAGCAGCAGCCAGGGGAGAAGGCGATTTAGCATCTCTGGGTGCTGATGCACCCATAGGATTCTTGTCCCCCTCACTGGCAGGACCTGCAACCTGCGCAGAATCTGCTGGCTCAGCATTGGTTGGCCCTGACATGGCAAGAGATGCGCTCTGTGCGGGGCTGACTGCCTCTCTGGCAGAATCTCTGCCAGTGCTGTGGGGTGAGCCAGGCCCCTGCTGGTGGGCTGCGTCTGGGTCCCAGTGAAGGTTCCAGGTGGCTTCCTTCTGCTGCCTCCCTCCTGGCTTGGAGATCCCAGCAGCAGCTCTTGTGTCCTCTCGAGCATGGCCATCTTTTCGTCTCCGTGTTGCTGGCATCTTTTCAGTCTTGGTGGCCGGCACCTGGGCTGTCCTTGCAGGTGTTGCCACACTGCTGGGAGGGGCGTAGTGCCTTTGTACCCTCAGCTGCACCCTGGGTCTTTGGCTCCTGGCTGCAGCATGGCTTGGGGTTGGCCTGTTGTCTTGCTGGGGTCTGGCCTGCAGAGGCGCCAGAATGGATGCGGGGGCTTGCAGGGCTGTCCCCCGGCTCTCGGCAGTTGCTGCCATTTGCTCTTTTCTCACGTGTCCTTGAGGACCTCGGGGAGTCTGACAGCCTTGGTGCTCGTGATGCAGTCTCTGCATGGCACAGAAGAGGTGGAGCCTGCTACTGACAGACTGGGCAGCCGGGGGATAGTTGAAGCTTCCACTGAATGCCGATGTGTAGTTCTCAGTGTCGCTGCCTGCCTTGGCAGAGGCGGCAAGGCTGGTAGAGGATCTCTCCATTCACCGGTGGCACTGCTGCCGGGCAGTGCCTGCCTCAGCTTCAGGCTGTCTGTCTGCAAGGGAAGCCAAGGAGAAAGGTGATGTTACCGTAGTCCTTTCCCACCTGCCCACCTCCAGCACCTGCCCACCTGCCCCCTCCAGCACGTGCCGCCTCCTTGTCAGCAGCTCCCAGGGCTTGGGAAGGCATCTGGCCCCATCTCACTTGGGCTCCCTACCTGTGTGCTCTTCTTCCTAGAGGCCTGTGACTTCTGTGGGCAGTGGAGCTGTGGCAGCCTCACCCCGTGGATGGACAAGGATGGAGTCTGGCTGCACAGCGGTCCTGCCTGTGGCGGTTTGGGTTGCACCTGTGGGGAGAAGGAGGTGTGGGATGGTGGTGGCTGCGCTGCCACCAGCATCCCTTGTGGTGCCTGGACACCCAGCCCCACCTCAGTGCCACATCCTTCGGACAGAGTGCTGCCCGACCCACGCGAGTCACAGCCATCCCAGGCCTCAGCTCTGCCCCAGAGAAACCCCTGGGGCACGAGAACCTGGGCCTGGACCGCAGACACTCAGGGCCAGGCCTCGCGCCCCGGTACCATGCTCCGCCACCTGGCACTCTCTCTCCTGTGTCTGCCCTCTCCCTCCCTCCCTGTCCCGCACCTGGTGGTGCTTCTTCATGCTCGGCAGCCCTTTGTTGGGCTGGGAGCAGGCCTTCGCCTCTTGCTCCTTCGGCATCCCTTTGTCCTCTCACAGAGACAAAGAAACAGGCACCCAGGGCAGCTGCTGCCTCCTGACGGCGCTGCACTCCTGGGAGTGAGCACCACGGGGGCTCGGGCCATATAAGTCACACCGTCACCATGGGGACGCTTGCCGTGTCACAATGGTCTTGTGGCCTGACGCCGCCCCACGTCACAAAGCCTGAGTGCTTGCTGTGGAGCCTCCTTGTTCCCGGCAGCCTCCCGTCAAGACACCAGCTCACAGCAAGGTGGGGGTCAGGAGACACCTCTGGGCTGCTCTAGTCCAGGCCCGCTCTGTCATCGTGGCAGCCCTCTGCCGGACATTTCTCCAGAGGCGCTGTCATCATCCCGCACAGGCTCACTCTTGCCTGCACTGGGGCTGTTGGAAGTGCCTGGAACTACACTGTGCCTGGCACGGGGCAGCCCTTCTTGTGTTAGATCTTTTCCTTTGTCCGGCATTTGGTAAGGCCTGCCATCCAATATCTCCAAAGGGGCTTAGTTTGACCAAGTTTGCTCCTGGGGGATGGATGGAGCCCGTGGTAGGGAGCCGTGTGCGAGCAGTGCTTGAGGAGCTGCTGCCTTTGGCAGCCCCTGCAGGCTCAGTTCGGGAGTCCCGTGTGAGGGATGAAGTTCTGTGTTTTTTGTTTTGTTTTGTTTTTGTGAAGAAAGCGGGTGTTGAAGAAGGAAATGCAGAGTTGCCTTTGTTTGTCACTCGATGGTCTTGAGGTCTCTTCCAACGTAGACATTCTGTGATTCTGTGAAGTCACAAACGCCAAGGCGTCACACTGGCTGGCTCTGCAGCACAGATGCCAGGAGTGCTGCTTGGCATGGCAGCGGCGGCGCGGTGCCCCAGCCCCAGGCCCGTCCCAGCCCCAGCGCACGTCGCCCTCCGCTCCCCCATGGAGCCCCCCGCTGCCTCAGCAGCCCCGCGGCGGACGCCCCATGGCGGAGCCGCCCCCGAGGAGAAGGAGCCCGCAGCCCTCTGCCCGCACCGCACCGCACCAAGCGCCGCGCAACAGCTGCCACCGCTGCGGGGGCTCCTGGTGTGAGCGGCAAGCGGTGGCAAGGGGGGGCTGCGCTTCCTGCGTCGAGCTGCTGGACACCGGCTTGCCTGGGCAATTGCCCATGTTGCTGAGGAGGGCAACAGAGCCAAAGCCCTTGGGGCTGAAGATCCAGCACGGCTGGGGAGGAGGCTTTGGCATTTCTGCACAATGCTGCTCAATCCTGCTTGGGAGCCCAGCCTCAGGTGCGGAATGAAGCCAAGCAAGCTCGAGGGAAACTGTGTGCTGGTAACTGGTCAGTTCTTGCTTTCTTTTTCATTCCTCACGCCTAAGAAAACCTAACTCTTTCAAGCACTTGTTGGATGGACTTGATTCTGGGTGTGCTCCTTAAGCTTGTTTGGCAGCTGTTGAACCCCGCTACACTTGCAGGAGACCTATGCTCGAGTTGATGCTTGCTGTGATCAAGCGCTGTTCTTTTGCTCTTCTTTGCTTTGGGGATGGCGGGTGAGGTTGCAAAGAGTTTTCAGGAGGATTCCTCTTTTCCTTTGCAGAATGCCAGACTGCGTATTAGAGCTGATCTTCATCTCTGCTCGGAAAAGCTTCACGGGCCAAAAGAGAATGGAGATGAGGAAGGCAATGGAGAATGATGAGGACTATTTGCAGTCAGCACCCGTAAGCTTTGTGAAAGAATCAGGTGCATTTCTGTAGTGGTAGAAAGCGTAGCTGGAAAGACTTCCTAAGGACGTTGTTGCCTTCAGGGGGCAGTGGCGACCTGGTTCAGGAACGGCACGGCGGCCAACCCCAGGCCGCTCGGTCCATCGGCTCACAGACACCAATGTGGTGGATGGCAAATGGCGTTTATTGTCGAGTCCCATGGGGTTATATAGCCGAGGCCCATAGCGTCACTTCCGCTTGCTTACAGCACAGGCCACACGCTACTGTCCATCAAGGGAGGGGCTCCACCTTTCCGTACATCGCGACATCTTCCGGCCGCCAGACCCTAACTACCCACATTTCCCCCCCTCCCTATGCACAACCAAATTAGCTAAAATATAACAATCTTAAGACGTAGACATCATAACTTAACTAAAAAACATAAGGCACAATAACCAGGAGAAAACTAAGAGGTAACCGGTAACCCTGAGTAAATACACTCTTAAAGTAGTTGTTGGTGTTCTACCAACATAATGTTAACTTTCTCTAACCAACTTTTAACAAACAACACAAGCATATTTCGTATACAAGGTCCAAAGATAAGATCACACAAACGCATTGCAGCCCCCCACCCACGGAGGCCGCTTCGCTGGTGTCTGGATTCTGCCAGTGTGGAACTCTCAGGCTTAGACAGGACGCTTGCTGACTTATTGTCTTCTCATGTCGCCGGGGTATACAGATTACGGGGGTGCCCGATGATCCGTTCCTGTGAACAGAAACTCAGTTTTCATTAGTTTTGTTCTGAAATTGGGGCGTCGGCTGTTTGGAGCTTCTCTGGCCGCACGAGTTGCCATACCTTCGTGGGCGCTCAGGCCCTGGACTTGCGCCTGGGGGGTGATCACTGTTGGGTCCGTACCCATTCGCCGCTGCAGGCTAGAGCCATATAGTGTGTGATCCGCCCCAGTTACTTGGGCCAGCTGTCTCATACAGTTGTCCCCCCATTCTCGTTTAAAAATGATCATCCCACCCCCGTCAAAGATCAGTCTACAAGTTTGTTTGATATCAAACGGGAGCATGTCGTCTCCCCTGAAAACACCATCTCTGAGGGTGGAGACCATTGCAGAATGAAGCCCTTTATGCACAATGGCTTTAACAATCGCTTGTACATCCTTAGGGTTTGTTGGTGAGTGAACCCTCTGCCCCCCGTCTGTCACCCAGACCGGGAACGCTAGCACGGCCGATAGCACCCAGATGGCGCACGCAATCTTAATTTTCCTCCAATCCATGAGAGGAATTTCTCCGCCTCGCGGTGCAGCTTTATTTCGGATGGGGATATTTTTGCTATCTGTCCCCATTTCCTCCTCCGAATGTGAATCGGTATCTGACCCGGAGTCAGAGCTTGACTGACTGCTCACCTCCGAGTTCCGGTCCCCTCCCATCGAGGTCCGGCCCCGCCCCCCACCCCTGCGGGGGGGCCGCTCCCTGCCTCGTGGCTCGCCCCGCCGCCTGCTCAGCGAGGCGTTTGCGCCACAGGAGCGTGTTTTCGGATGGCCGTTCCGATCGGCTCTCTGCCCCTCTCTCACGCTTCTACCTCCTCCCCGGTCGTCCCCGCAACCGTTCTCTTTTTCGCATTTCCACGTGTTAGTAAAACCTAACGCTTCATCCCCGTTCCCGCCGGAGGCTTCTTCACCCGACTCTTCGTTTTCTAGTTCAGCACCGTACTGGGGCGCACATGGCCGTGGTCTCTCCCAGATTTCCTCAGGCTCTGGTTCCCCACCGGCACCCTGGCTTCCTCAGCCGAGCCACCCCACAGCTTCCACAACTTGGATACGACCTTCACAAGGGTTTCCATCTTCCTTGTTGGTCCGGGAGCTTCCTCCCCGCCGGGCTGGTCCCGCCGCTCCGGCCGCCGTTCACCCGAATCAGGAGTTTTCCCGGGTTTCGGCACCACTTGTTGCCTTCAGGGGGCAGTGGCGACCTGGTTCAGGAACGGCACGGCGGCCAACCCCAGGCCGCTCGGTCCATCGGCTCCCAGACACCAATGTGGTGGATGGCAAATGGCGTTTATTGTCGGGTCCCATGGGGTTATATAGCCGAGGCCCATAGCGTCACTTCCGCTTGCTTACAGCACAGGCCACACGCTACTGTCCATCAAGGGAGGGGCTCAACCTTTCCATACAGCGCCACATCTTCCGGCCGCCAGACCCTAACTACCCACAGGACGTCAAGTCCAATTCCTTGTTCTCAGTTAGAGCAATCCCGTAGTTTAGACTCCTGATAAGGTATTTGTCTGTAGGCAGCTGCCAACTTGTCCAGCTAATCCAATTCAGCCTGGAAAACAAGCAAGCAAGCAAGCAAGCAAAAAGCACAGAAACCTGCAGTTTATGGAGTGCAACTGTCTCCTTTCCAATCGCATGGGTTTCACCAAGTTTGGGGTGACTCCAGGGCTGGCTTGCCAGGGAGACTTTCTTGAATTGCTGGCAGATCAGCCAGAAGGGCAATACAAGGCCCTGGCTAAACACAATCTGTAGGCTGCTTCTAGATCAACAGTTTCCTTGGTTACTCCACAACCTCCACAATCTCCACTTGCTTCGAAGCTCTGAAGATTGCAAGTCCACTTTGTGTTTTTCAGCCCCTCTGTGTCAAACGGTAAGAGTTTTCCCTGGCTGTTAAAACAGAAAGGACAACAGCCCCTCCTCTGGGTCTTCAGAAGGCTCCTAAGATCCCCCAGACTGGCTAAGTAGCGACGCTCTAGTATAGCTGCATCTAGATGCAGTAGAGCTAGATGGTGGGAGAGATGGTATGCTAGATGGTGCTCTAGCATGGACGTGACACGCTTTGACAGCATCTTTTCTCTGACAGCAACTTCTGCCTTGGCTCTTCCCATCAAGCCAGAGCAGTTTCTTGGCCTGCGCAACCTGCAGACTGACCTCTCGTGTGTATCCGTGCTGGACTGAGGGTAATGTTTGGAACACACACTGATGCTGTATTCACTAGAACTTTGAGAAGAGAGAGCAAGAAGCTAACCTGCAGACGAGTTTCTTAGGTTTCTGTAGAGAGAGGGAGATATACATGCATACATATTTACTTCTGTCTTTACTTCTTTCAAGATAGCTTTTGTTCTCCAAAATGAATCCTCTGACTGTTACTAATGTATGGGACACACCTTGACACTCTAATGGCATAGAAATACTTTTCAGCTCATCCTTGCTATTGTTTCTGGATTGAAAAAATAATTGTGAATATGATTACCTGCTTGGAATCTTTTTTTTTTTTTTAATATATACCTATTCTATTATGAAATCCTATAGGAAGGAGTGAACTCAAGAGGAAAAAAAAAAAAAGAAAACAATTTTAATTCCACTTCTAAATTAGATATCTAATCCTGATAGATTCACTCCCTTCCAAACAGAGCTCAACAAATGAAACAGTAAAAAATGCACATAATATTTCTTCTATGCCAAGATTTCATGGCACAATAGTTCTTTGCCTAACCCTGCAATAGCCCCATAGGCATTGCAATTGCTTACTTGTTCTTCTTCTTTGCTTGTGTTTAGTGTTTGCTTTTCTAATGTTACAACATTGGATTGATTTCCCTCCTTAGGTATCAAGAGAAGAAGGCATTTGCTTCAGAGGACAGTACTTTGATGCTTTCCAGGGCTAATGGCCAAAGTTCTCCAAGCACTTTTTTTTTTTTTCTTTTTTTTTTTTTTCCCCATCAGTGATTTATACATTTGTCAATCTTTCCATCTTCATTTACAACTCCGAATTTAGGTTTTAGGTGAACAAGAACCCTGAAACCAGCTGAAGCCATATCAGACATGAAGCCATATCAGACATAGTAAGGACATGTGTCTGTGAGGAAGTAATTCCGAGTGATTCTCTGGTGTCCTTTGGACAGCTTTCCTCTGGTCCTCTGCACTAGGCATCCCCAAGGGATATTTCAAAGCTCTCGGCATGATCTGTCATTCTCTCTTCCACTGGAGTTTCCATTAGAAAAGCGTGACTATTCCTTGCCCATGTGGAAAAGAAGTCCTCCTTGAGTTGTTTCTAACCAAAACCTCTTTCTTGTGTTCTATGGACAGAAACCACTTGGCTAGACAAACTCAATCCTTGCAAATGGAAGGAGTGGAAGTACTTCAGCAGCGTGCTTCGGCTTCTAAGCAGAACTGTAATGTAGGTGGGGACAGAGCAAGAGGACATGGCCAAGCCAGGGTGGACTTGAAAGTGCCGTGTCCGAGCCACAGCAAGAAATCCGTGATTGCCACTTGGAGACGGCTGCTCACCTAGTAGCACAGCAGCTGGAACGCTTCTGGATCCTGCTGATGGATTGCCACGAATCAGGCA